CCCGCCTCGGCACCCGCCGTCGGCACAGGCGGCATACCGGGCCTGCGCGGCCCACCACGCAGTGCAAAGTAGATGTGCGCGTAAAAGTCGTCGGCGTACGGATCGGCGGTGATGAGCTGCGAGATCTGGATGCGCGTGATAAAGTCCTTGTCCGACCCGCTCATGAGGCCGTTGTACTTGGCCATGGCGTTGATCTTGTCCATGCGGCGCTTGCGCCTCGCCTCTCCGCGCTCCAGGTCGGCGATCTGCGCCTGCGCCTTCTCCATCATGAAGCGCACCGCCTCCTGCTCGGCCGACGAGGCGCGGTTGGCGTCGCGCTGCGCCGGGTCGAGCAGCTGCGGAAAGTTGTGCGCGATGCTCTCGAGCGAGTCGAACTGCATGGGCGGCGGCAGCGACAGGATCGACTGCTGCACCAGCGGCGGCATGGCGTCGAGCAGCGCACGCATGCGCGCAAAGTGCGCCGCCTGCGCCTGCTGCTGCGCCGCCTGCATCGCCGCCGGGTCGGCGTTGGGCGGCAGCATGGGCGGCACGGGCCCCATGCGAGGCATGCCGGCGGGAGGCGCGACGGCAGGCATGGGCGCCGCCATGCCCGGAGGACCGAGAGGCTGGGGCTGAGCCGCGGGGCTGCTGCCGAGCATGTGCGCGGGCGGAGGCGAGAGGGGACCGGCAGGGGGCGCGCCGGCACCGCGTCGGGCGCGCAGTTCGGCCTCGACCTCCTCGACCGTCATGGGCTTTCTTTCATTGCCGGGCTGAGCAGGCGCGTGGGCCAGTTGCTGGTTGGCACGCATGGCGAGCATCTCTGCCTCGACCTCCTCGAGCGTCTTTGGCTGAGGACGTTGCTGCTGCTGCTGCTGCTGCTGCTGCTGCTGCTGCTGTTGTTGTTGAGGCAAAGCCTGCTGGGGACCACCACGACCAGCGCCGAAGCGAGGCACAGGGTCAACGAGGAAATCATCGAGGCTTGCAGCAAACTTGTTGGAAGGGTCGAACTTGGACTTGGCCTGCTGCTGCTGGTGCTGCTGCGGAGCATACTGATTGTAGTTGTTGTTGTGGTACGACGGTTGAGCCTGAACGTTGGCGGGTGCAGCGGCGGGAGCTCCGAAATCAAAATCCTTGCCGACGTCGACGTCGCCGAAGGTGTCTTCGTTGAGGTCGTCGCCGGACTCGTCGAGTTTGTCACCCAGACCGTCGTAGCCCTCCTGTCCCCAGGTGTAGATCTCGACGTCCTCCTGGGCGCCTGCAGCGAGCGCCTTGATCTTTGCATCGAGCGACTCGTCGTTGTCAAAGGTGGGATCGAAGGCGTCGTGCTTGTAGCTGGGACGCGTGGGGCGCCTGTCGCCGGGCATCGAAGTGTCGAAGCCGAAGAACGACATGGTTGACGATCAAAGCCCGAGTGGGCAGGTTGGAGTGTTGATGAAAATGCGATCCGGGAATTCCAATCCGTGAGCTGGAATGGAGCACGATTGGGGTGGTGACGAGAAAACCGTCTGAGTATGGATGTAGGACGGAGGATGCGGCGAGGGCGGCGGACGCGCTCAGACGTTGTTGGCCCAACCGAGCCGACCGAAGTCGAGCCATCAGAGTGCGGACCAGTCAGTCACGTGTGGCTTCTCTGTGCCGCAAACCTGCTGTGATCGGGCCGTCAAATCGCTAAAAAGATCCACAAAGTTGTAACGAAAGTCTAACAAACTCAAATCTATTTCCGGCCGCCTTTTGAGCTTTCATTTTGTGTGGAGGTTTGAGGCTGCGTTGGAAAGAGGCGCGTCACAGCGATGAGCCCAAGACAGGAGCTTCGGCGAGTCGAGCCGCTGGCGAGCATGGGAGAGAGAGGGAGAGAGTGCGTGCAGTACAGTGCGTGTGCTGCACGTCCCCAGCCCGGAAGCCGCCCGGTCCAACCCTGCTGAAAGGCGCTCTACCAGCCCACTCGATCCAACCTCAACTCAAAGCCAACCAACGCAACCCCCACGCCTACACACACACACACACTCTCTCTCTCTCACATAGACACGCGCTGCCCACCTCACCTCCTTCCTTTCCGCTCCATCCCATCGATCGCCTCGGATCGGCCTCTCGAGAGAGGGCACCCTCAAAGGCATCACCTCGAGCCGAGCCAGAGCGACAGCACCCCATGCGCATCGTAGCGCCGCGCCGCCGCCCATCATGCCGCCCAAATCGCTCGTCACGGCGCTGCGCGATCGCTACCTCAACACCATCCGCTCCGTACAGCCACCCGCACGATGGAAGGTGCTCGTCGTAGACTCGTTCACAAAGGAGCTCCTCAACTCGGTGCTCAAGATGTACGACATCCTCCAGGAAAACGTCGCACAGGTGGACAACATCGAGCTCAGTCGCGCACCGCAGTCGTCGCTCGAGGCGTGCTACCTCCTCACCCCCACCAGCCAAAACGTAGACCGCATCATCCGCGACCTGGCCCCCGACGCAGCTCGCCAGCCCACCTACGCCGCAGGTCACATCTTCTTCGTCGACAGCCTCTCGGATGCGCTCGTCCACAAGCTCACCTCGTCGCCCGCAGAGCCCAAGCTGCGCCAGCTCATCGAGCTCTACACCAACTTTTGGCCTATCGAGTCGCAAGCCTTCTCGCTCAAGTCGCCCCACAGCTTCCTCAACCTCTTTCAGCCCCTCGGCGGCCTCTATGGTCCCGACCCCATGGAGGCCATGCGCACCATCGACGAGGAGCTCCAGTTCTCCACACAGGCCATCCTCAACGTCTGCGTCACTCTCAACGAGTTCCCGCTCATCCGCTACTACAACCCCTCCCATCCTCCACTCGGCCCGCTCCAGCCACCCAAGGATGCCATCAAGTCCCACACCGCCGCCGCCAACATGTACCAGGGCAGCGCACGCATGGCGCGTCTGCGCGGCAACAACAACAACAACGATGCCGGCCTCGCAGGCGCAGGCTCCGACGGTCCCGTCGCCGGCGAGCATTTCACACGCAAGCTCGCCATGCGCGTCCAGGCCGCCATCGACCAGTACGTGCGCGACAACGAGCCCAAGATCGAGTCGAGCCGGCCACGTTCGGTGCTCTTCATCACCGACCGCTCCATGGACACGATCGCGCCGTTTTTGCACGAGTTCTCGTACCAGGCCATGTGCAACGACCTGCTCGCCATCGAGGACGGCACGCGCTACCACTACACCTTTTACACCGCCGAGGGCGAGCGCGACGAAAAGGACGCCGTGCTCTCGGACGACGACAACGTCTGGACGGGCATCCGACACCTGCACATCGCCGAGGCCATCGATAAGCTCACCAAGGACTTCAAGCAGCACGCGGGCGAGCAGGGCGCGTTTGCCGATCCCAACTCGTCGCTCAACGACATGCGCGACATGCTCGCCTCGCTGCCGCACATGCAGGAGATGAAGGAGAAGCTCTCGCTCCACCTCACCATGGCGCAGGACTGCATGAACCGTTTTGAAAAGTCGCGGCTGCCGCAGCAGGCCATGGTGGAGCAGAACTGCGCCACCCGGCTCACGCCCGAGGGTCAAAAACCCAGGACGCTGGTGGAGGAGATGGTGCCGCTGCTCGACGACCGCAGCGTGACGAATACGGACAAGGTGCGCATCATTGCGCTCTACATCATGTACTGCGACGGCGTACCGGACGAAGACCGCAAGCGTCTCTTCCAGCACGCGCGGCTGGGGCGCTACGAGATGGACGCCGTCGACAACCTCGTCCACCTCGGCGCACAGGTGGTGCGCGACGCCACAGCGTCCGGCTGGGACGCGTGGTTCAAGAAGGGCAAGCGCAAGCAGCAGCCGGGCGAAAACGAGTTCGAGCTCAGCCGCTACCAGCCGCTCGTCAAGCTCATGGTCGAAGACCACTTTGCCGGCAAGCTCGAACAGGCCACCTTTCCCTACGTGCGCGATGCGCCTCCGGAAGCATCGACAGGCCTGTCGCTACCGGTGCAGACGTCGGCACTGGCACGTGTAGGGCTTGGTGGGGGTGGCGCAACGACGACTTCGGCAGCGAGCGCACGTACGCAGCCCAGCAGTCTGCGTTCCGCCAAGCCGACGTGGCACCAAAAGGGCCGGGCTGGGTCGAATGTGGGTGTCGAGAGGAGTGAGAATCGCCAGCGCGTGCTCGTGTTCGTTGCGGGCGGCATGACGTACTCCGAGATGCGTTCGGCGTACCAGATGAGCGAACGCCTGGGCAAGGACTGCTACATTGGATCGTCGCACACCTTTACGCCGCAGTCGTTCGTCGAGGTGCTCAAGCAGTTTGGCAAGGCAGGAGCGCGCGAAGCTGCGCAGCAGCGCCCACATCATCCGCATCATCACGAGCATCATCATCATCAGCAGCAACAGCAACTGCCACCGGGCGCACGGGGGCTTAGTAAGCCCGCCAATGACCGCAGCGCCATCCGCACCGAGTCGCTCAAACACGGCGCCTACCCGCCCCACACTGGTACGAACGGCGGCCAGTCGGGGTACGGCTCGCCACCCGTGGATCAGTCGACGTACGACCGCAGGTTCCAGTCAAATGCTCCCCCACCTTCCCACCATCCGCAGCAGCACCAGCAACAACAACACCAGCATCAGCAGCAACAGCAGGCGCCGAAATCTAGCCTCCCTCCACACGTTGCTGCGGATGCAAGCGGTACAGCACGCAGCTCCAGTCCTGCCCCCAGCCAGGCGAGCGACCTCAGCCAGCGCTCCAAGGACAAGAAGCGTCTCAAGAATCCCTTTTCCTTTAAAAAGTGATCCCTCCCCTCACTGATGCCACACAATCTTATACCTCCTTCCACCACCTCCTTGCACACTCGAAGCTGAGCAGCACGAACCTTTGCTCGTTGCAATTGAAGAGCTGGGCTTGGGGGGCGTTTGGGCTTCTTCACCACCCTCGGATGCCGAGGATGTGGCGTACATCCGTCGCGAACCTGAGCGAGTCGAGGATGGGCAGCAGATCGAGCAGCGCCTCGTCGTTCGGATCGTGCGTCCAGCCCTCGATGGGGATGCCGTTGGCGCGATTGATCGCATAGCTCGCCGGGCTGTTGTCGACCAGACACACCTTGCTGAGATCCTCATCGACCACCTTGAGATTCTTGACGTAGCTCCCGCCCTTGAAACTGCAGCTCTCGCGGAACAGCCTTGCCGAAATCAACCCCCGCCCTTGGTCCAACCAGTCGATCACCGGGTCGGCATACTCCTGCACGCTGGCGGTGAACACCACCACCGTGTACCACGACGCAACCTTGCGCAGGAAATAGTCCGTCCAAGGTCGCTTGTACACGTGGTACAGTACCGACCGACCGTCCAGCACAACTTCGACCATGTGCGGTCGAATCCGGCGCGGATTGTCGTTCGCCCTTAGCCCCAATACCGCTCCCGCTGTTTCGAGCCCCAGGAACCCCGAGGTGGTGGTTCGACCGCCCGCGCTCGCATAGTGCGACGGCGATCGCGACGTCGAATGGATCAGCGTCTCGTCCAAATCCAGCACCAGGATCTTGGGCGAGTGGTGGATGATCGAGCTCGTCGGTCCACGCGGCACCTTGGACGGCATCATCACCGCCGTCTGCGCCTCGCTCCCATTCGCCGCCCCCGTAGCAGCGGCTCGCCTCGCCGCCCTGCCGCGCGCGATCCTCGACTGGCGCTCCGCCTCCATCCTCGCCTCCTTCTCCGCCATGGCCGCGTCGATCAGCGCCGCCTTGCTGTTGTGCGCCAGCATCGGATCCACCGCCTGCGGATTCGGCAGCAACCGCGACGGCGTCCGCGCGCCCGACTCGAGCGCCTGCCACACCGTCCCCATCTCGGCCGCCTGATCCTCCGTCACCGGCTCCTTTTCAAAAAACCCTGCATCGTTGCCGTCCGGCTTGGGCGTGCGCGGCCTCACCCCCACCTTGGCATCGCGCTTCTCCCCATCCCGCTTGCCATCCACTGCAAACCGCAGCGGCCCCGGCCGACCACCACGCTTGCTCGCCTCTTCATACGCCCCCGAATTCTTTTCGAGGATCGGCACTTGTGCACGCTCGTAGATCGCCTGGACCGCCTGCTCGGAGCGCCCGGCTCGACGGCGGCGCAGGTAGCGCACGCAGTTGACGGGGCACAGGAATACGGCAAGCAGCAGGTCGCGCAGCGCAAGCAGCGCGCGACGCATAGCGCGCTTGGCCCCGCCGCGCTTGGAGCGTTTCGCGTGCCCCTTGAACGGAGCTGCATCATCCGCGTCGTGGCCCGCACTGCCGTGCAGGGGAGCCAGCCAGCCTCGTGGCTCTTCGGACTCTGACGCTCGGGTCGAACCGGACCTTGAGCCGCGCTTGGAGCGCCGCCTTCTGGGCTTGGTCGGGGTGAGACTGCGGTCGACAAGCTCCTCGGAGTCGGTGGATGCGAGCGAAGAGGTGGACGTCGAGGCTGCAGAGTCGAGCGCCGACTTGATGGACGGATTGCGCCGCAGCGAGCTGCGCCTCGATGCCGAGACGGTGCCGGGATCAGCGCCCGGGACATCCAAGGGGCTCGACGAGTTTCGATTGATGGTCGGCGTGTGCTCCGACTCCCGATCCTCCTGACCCGCAGCGGCAGTCTCCTTCTTGGGCGTGGCCGAGGCAGCGTCGGGATCGACCACGGTCGAGGTTGGATCTTCGTCCGCAACAACCTGGATAGCAGCCGGCTCGCCCTTTGCTGCATCGAGCAGCGTCTCCTTGTCGACGCTCTTCTCGTCCTGCTCGTCCTGGTGGTGGTGAGTATGCTGCGCTGGCTCGGATGCAGAGACCGAGGTGGCGATGGATGCGGGCGACGCATGCGGCTCGAGCGTGACCGAGGAGGTGTGGTCCCAGCTGCTATCTGCGCTACTCTGGGAGATTGTCCTCTGACGCGCCAATTCAAGATCTTCGGGTGAAAAGTCGCCTCCGTCAAACTCGACGATATCCTCGCGCTCCTTTTCGGTCAAGAGGTCCGGATCGTCGTGCGCGTGCGGTGGTTGCTGACTCCTCGGCCACGACTCGCGCGGTGCATCCTGATCGGCCGAAGTGAGCGTGAGCGAGGCTGCGTGGCCGAAGCGAGACTGACGCCTGGACTTGCTGCGCCTGGAATGCGAGCGAGCTTCGTCGGAGCTGCTGGAGGAAGCGTCGGTGCGGCCGTGGTGAGGTTGGCCGGAGCCTGAAGACGCCGTACGCCTGGCCTGGCCGGGGCGGGGAGCGGTTGAGGAGAGCAGGAGGTCATCGAGACTGGGTGCGCGCTTCGTGCGGCGGAGAGACAGCTGCGAGTCGCTGATCTTGCGGGAGCGGGCACGAGAGCCGGGATGAATGGCCTCGTCGAGCCAGCCTGTGAGGCCCCAGAGACCGCTCCACCTGGCTGGGCGCGGATTGAGCGAGTCGTCGTCGCTGTCGTCGGTGAGCGCGTGCGAAGAGTTGATGCCTGCGGGGGTGCTGCCGGTGCGCCGGAGTGCATTGCTGTACACGGAGCGGGGAGGGTCGTCGTGCTCCTGCGACCATCTGCGGAGGGCGGAGGAGCCGGAGGATGTGGGGGGCGATGCGCTCGAAGCTCTGCGGCTGCCGGGGAGGGAGGAGTGGGAGCGGGACCGTTTTGCGGACGATGGGGCGCGTGACGAGGGCCGCTCGGGAGCCGCCTCAAACGAGCGACTGAGCACCGAGTCGAGGTAGCTGATCGAGTTCATGGCGTCGTGCTGGCGGTGTTGCTGTAGGTGTGGTGGCGATGCGCGCGTCTATACTAGTCCAAAAGGAGGCCTTCCGATCGATCCAAAAAGTCACCGCTGCGCTGCCATGGCTGGTTGCGGCGTTGCTCCGACAGTCGTGGCGCTGCTTGGTGCCAAAAACTGTAGCACTTGCTCGGATGCGCCGACGATGCAAGAACGAGGGCCCAAAACGGCGTGGTGTCGGAAACGCCGACCTCGCGCGCAATCGCTTCGTCGCAAGTAGGTGAGCCGAAGCAAAGCAAAAGCAAAGAGTGCTGCGTCGAGGATGGTCGAGCTGAAGGAAACACACGACGAGCAGTCGCGGATGTTGGGGGAGGCGGGCGAGCAGCCCACATTTGGACAAATGGACTCGCAGTCCGAGCGGCGGCGGCATGAACCGGCCCACCCCCAGCCACGCCGCGCATCGTTGCCTGCCGACTGACGCGGATCTCAGCCAACCCAACGCATCCCAAAACCCTGGCGCCACCTGTGGACGCAGCCTTTTTCAGCGCTGGCCCTGCATGCCGCGGTTAAAAACATCCCCCAAAAAATGAGGCAGCCCACGGCGACATCATTTTCGATGTCCAATTTGGGCCTGCTCTTCGGGCCGCGCTGCATGACGCACCGATTTTTTCCGCCCGCCTTTGCCTTCGCACGGACTCGGCTTGGCGGCTCATTATCCCCACCCTCTCTCAACTGCACCTCCAAGTGTTGGGAATTGCAGACTCCATCGCGCTCGTCACCTCCATCGGACATTCCGCGTAGCAGCACGCTGACGCTTGCTCCCACGATGCTGCAAGCCGCTGCGATCACGGAGCTGCTTTCGCGCCTCATCAGCGACGATGCTTCCGAGGCTGGCATCGTGCGGCCGCACACGGCGCTTCTGTCGCTCGTCGACTCATCCGAGCTCTACGCCGTAGCTACCAAGCTGGTGGAGCAGCCGCCGGCTCGATCTGCCGTCGCATCCATCCTCGCCAGCACTGCTGCGGCTGCTGGCACACCACCGCCTTCGCAGCTCACCTACACCCGCGCCGCGCCGCTCACGCTCGACGAGCGCGCGGCTTGTCTGTCGGCTATCGCCGTGACGGCGTGGAGACAGGCGGCGGAGTCGAGCACGGCACCTTCCACCAACGGTGTCGCGCGTTCGGATGCAGGCGTCATCGTGATGCCCGGCGCATCGGTGTCGGTGGCCAAGCACGCTGCGCGGATGGCGGGATTGGGCGGTGGGAAGCCGGGTAAAGAGCTCGTGCCGCTGCTGTTGGAGAGCGATCTGGGCCGCGTGCTGGTGATGCCGATCGTGCCTGCTCCGACGACCAGTCCTTCGCGCAACGAGCTCGCGCACGACGACGTGCACGACGACACACCCGCATTTGCAGACCACTCGAAACCGTTCATGCTGCTCACGCTCAACGCCTCCTGCAGCGCCGCGCCCTCGATCGCCCCCAAGAGTCCCGCCACGCCCAACGCGACGAGTCCGGCACTCACGTCATCCGTGGCCACGCTGTCGGCGAACAATGCGACACGCTCGCGCCTGCGCTCCGGAGGCACCACCCCCACCTCGGCGCGCTCCGAACACACGCCCACGCCATCGCGCTCGCCCGTGTCGGACCACTTTCCCCCAGGCTCCACCACTCTTCCCTCTGCACCTGCGACTGGCGAGGCTGAGTCTGCCGCCGCACCCGAAGCTGAGGGTGCCAACGACTGGGACGCCAAGCAGTGGGCGGCGCTGTATGCCCAGGCCAAGGCGTTGGCTCGTGTGCTGGCGCCCAGTCTGGCGCAGAGCGGAGTGGCGCATGACCACCACGACGACGCAGCGGGCGAAGGCAGACACTCGACGCTCGTCAGCGACGACGAGGCCGATGCGTAGCCACTCTCTCCACCAGGCCACAATGATACCCCTGATAGCATTGCACACCCGTCTTCGCTGTGATTCGCATGGCTGTGGCAGACTATCCTCCGGCGAAAAGCAGATATGAGGGAGTTGGATTTTTGAGATGCCGAAAAATGCGCGAAGCGTTCGGTAGAAGTGCGGTCAAAAAGAGGAAACGGAGCGCGGTCCGGACCGGAGCAACTCCGCTCTTCCCTTCACCCTCCCCCGCGCGTGTTCAACACCCGAGGTGGGGGAGCTCATGCTCTGCTTCGAACCATCATCTTTGTGCACTTCACAATGTCTTCGGTACCGGTGCTTCTGATTGTGATGGGCACGTCTGGGTCCGGCAAATCCACTGTCGGATCTGCACTTGCCCACTCGCTCCACTGCCCCTTTGTCGACGGAGACGATCTGCACCCCGCGACGAACGTTGCCAAGATGTCGGCTGGTCAACCGCTCAACGATACCGATCGAGAGCCTTGGCTGCGAACCATCCGCGAGACGGGTCGAACCCTCGCTCTGACCCAAACACAGCCCGAAACTGCACCGGTGAAGAAGCTGGCCGAGGTGTACGAAACGTCCCAGCAGACTCGGACTTGGACGGACGAGGCGGTTGATCCCACCGCGCACGTTTCGGACCAGCCGACGAAGGGGGCCAAGGTGGCAGTGATTGCGTGTTCCGCTCTCAAGCTGGTGTATCGTAGATTGCTGCGTGGATCGATTCAGGCGCTCGATGATCCGGATGCTACAGCGGAGGAACATGTGCAGTACAAGGATCTCAGGACGGTGCATGTGTACTTGGACCTGTCGCGCGAGTTGTTGGAACACCGAATGGCCGCGCGCAAGGGCCACTTTATGAAGCTCGACATGCTCTACTCGCAACTCGACACCCTCCAAAAACCCACGCCCCAAGAACCGGACGTCATCATCGTCGATGTTCAGCCCGATACCACCACCGACGCCATCATCGCCCAGGCCGTAGCACAACTCCGATCCCAAGCCATCATCTAAACCCACAATCCACACATCTCACACTCTCGAATGCGGGAAAAGCGGTTTGAATTACGAGGAATCTACGACTTGGAGGAGGCAACACTTGCCTCGTGCTTGTACTGGTGGATGAGCGCATTGATTCGGTCCTCCTTGTCCTTCCTCTCCTGGGCGAGCAGCTGGAGGATCTTGCCGTGCTTGGCACTGGGCAATCCCTTGGTCTTGACCATGAAGCGGGGGAACTTGTCGCCCTCCTCCCTCCTTGCATCCTTGACGCCCTCGGCCGCGAGCGCGTCGAGGCCGTGGTACATGCCTGCATCGCGGTTGGCGATCTCGTCCTCGTACTGCTGCGTCGACTTTTTGCCTCTCCATCGCGGCGACTTGGTCATCTTGAGGTACACGCGCGCACGTTCGTAGTCGAGCTCGCTCGTGAGCAGATGCTGCTTCTGGAACTCGGGCGACACCTCGGGGAACAGGAACGGCTCCAACAGTCCCACCTCGACCTTCTTGTACGTCCTGCCGCGACCGGTGATCTTCTTGCCCGTGCGGTTGTCGCGCGTGACGGGCGAGCGGTAGATCGCCGAACGCGCCCACGTCGTCTTGAGCCCATAGATCGAAAGCAGATACGAGCGCAGCGCGTGCTTGTGCATGCTCAGCGGCACGCGGAACGTCGCCTTGAACGCATCGTACTCCTGCCCTGGCAGAGTGTGGTTCTTGACCAGCTTGACGATCGTGTTGGGCAGGAACGTCAGCTCGCCCGCACGCTCCGGTTCAGCATACCACCGCGGTGCAACGGACGACAGGATCATCGAGTCCTCGCTATCGTCAATGTACAGCTGCGAGCGGTCGCGCAGTTTCCACGCCGCCTTCTCCTCGGCCATGCGCTCGTCGGCCGACAGCTGCTGCCACGCCTCCCACGCCAGCGGCTCCTCGTCGGCCTGTAGCTTACGGAACGCCGCCCAGCCGTCGTCGCCCTGCATGCCGAGCTTGTCCGGCAGATGCGTGCCGGCCTCGCCCTCGGGACGCGGGTAGCCCGACGAGTATCCCTGCCTCCAGCCGAGCTTGCGGATGCAGTCGTAGCGCACACGCAGCATAGCCGCTGCACGCTGCTCCTTGGACAGTTTGCTCCACACCTTGCGCAGCGCATAATCCGCCTGCTGCTCGTAGTCCATCAAGTCCCACGACTCCAGCTGATGGGCCTTGCCGCGATCCTCGACCGCCTGACGCTCGCCCTGAATACGACCGTCGAGCCACTTGTTGGGGTCGGCGTCCTTTACGCCGGCGTACGCGCGGATCTCGGCCTCGTTGGGCGTCCACAGACGCGCACGCGCCGAGCGGAAGCTCTTGGCAAGCTCGTAGTGCTCCCTGAGCCACTCGGGGAAGCGGTCGGATTTGAGCGCCTCCACAAGCTGGTGGTGTCGCGACTCGTGCGTGTCGAACCAGCCCCACTTGAGCAGGTACTTGGCGGCGAGCTGCTCGAATCTCGGCGGGATCTTGGCGTCTGGATCGCGCGTGCCCCACGTGGAGAGCAGCTTGGCGTCCTCGGCCTCGGTGCTGAGCTGCCTGGTGCCGCGCTTCCTGCGACCCGAGGTGGGCAGCTGCTCAGGTGCCGGAGCGGGAGCGGGAGTGGCGTCGGTGTCGACAGCGGCGGGGGCGGCGGGAGCATCCTGACGGAAGACGGAGGAGACAGTGAAGCTCCTGCTGGGTTGGGAAATGGTGCTGGGAATGACGAGGGCCGACGCAAGACGTGCTGGTCTCGGCGTGGCCACGAGGCGAGAAGCGGTGGAGGCGCCGCCGAGGGCGGAGCGTGCAAGCTGAGCTTGCGATCCTGGCGCTCTGATCATGGTGTCGATCGCAGCTTTTTGTGAGGATGGAGATGGTGATTGTTGGTGATGGTGATCAGCACCAGTTGCTGGCGCTGGCAGCGGGCTCACCAACTTTTTTTCGCCCTTGCGATCTGCCCAGCAGAGCCTCTTTGCGATTCTTCCCAATCAAACCTGAGAAAGTCAGGATGCCACCCGTCACGTGCCGAGGCGAATTTTTCTTCTTTACAGATTTTTCCGGTCTAACACACCGAGAAAATCGCCTGCGACTTCGGCTGTAGCGGAGACCACCACCACGAGCACCGTTCGGGAAGCCACGGTTGGCGAGGCGCCGATGCAGGCACGCAGACTAGTCGAAGCTAAAAAGGACGCTACTCTCCATGGCGACGTCGAACGTGCACCGATACGCAGCTGCACCGATACGCAGCTGCACCGATACGCAGCTAATTCGGTGCAGTCGGGATGCAGCCGAAGCGCCGCTGGAGATGGTGCGAAAGAGGCGTGGGAGCAGCGCTGCGATGACGTTGCAAAGGCTTCGCGTTGAACTGCGTTGCTCGAGGCTGCAGGTGCGGTGTCGATCCGAAGTGCTCGCGTGTGAGCGGAGCCAGGAGCTTGTTTGCAGCTCGAAAGCAACCGCCGCCGCCAGCCCCAACTCAATTCGACGCAGCTCCTCATCCTCACGAAAAGCAAGCAAGCAAGGCGGAGATGCGTGTCGAGCTTCTTTGTCTATCGGCGCGCGGCCGACGTGTGACTTTTAAAGTGGAAGAGCGACCGTGTGAGGAGACGGCGAACCAGCGTTGAACCCCGGCTTGGGCTCCCCAGCCTAGACGGACGCGTCCCCTCGGTCTAGAATTCCAACGGACTGCAGCCACCACCACCCCACGCACAATTTTCGCAGCTCGAGGCTCTGGCTCTGGCCCGCTCTTTTCGGTCAGTGCGCCGCTGCTGCCCAAAATCGACGCGACCGCCGACGCAGCCAAAAACTCGCAACACCGCACCGCACTGGACCTCACCTCACCCTGCACCGCACTCCGCCCACCTCTCTCTCTCTCTCTCTCT